ATTAAAATTATATATTTATTACAATTGACTGTACATATAACTTGAAGTAGTTTAATGTAAATTATAGCGAGTATGCAGTGTATGGACCCATGGGAAGGATGTGTGAAATTAATTGCGAAATATATTAAAATTACAAAACATTTTAATTAAATACTGTGTATTCCTGTCGCACATATTATGGCTATATTATAGTCATAATTATAATTGGCTTATGAGTTCACTTTTGATAAAGTTTGGGAGATTTCTTAATTTCATCGTAAACGTATTCAATAATTCATGATATGTTTTAGTTTTTCAACATTTTTAGTTTTTTAATAACAACTAATTAGAGAGAGAGAGAGAGAGAGAGAGAGAGAGAGAGAGACCAAAAAAGAAATTATAATAAGCTTTGCACCGTTTATATAGTTTCTAAAACACAGGGATATTATAAAAGTTTATAAAAAACCAAAAAATACACTGAAGAATGTGACAATAAATACAATAAAAATTATAATTTTATGGTTCTCTCCCGTATGACATCTTAATACCGGTGCCTAATATTCTACAGAATAGCTAGACTACCTAATAAATTTATGCTATAAATAATACATACAATTAGTAAATTGTATGTCGTCTACAGGAATACTTTCATTAGCTAACATGTCTAGTAAATAGGATCAGGGAAATAGTGGAATTGAACAAAATAGTATTCAATGTTATTGCAAATGAAATGATTAGATAAATGAAAATAATAAAAATAATTATTTGATAAATTTATTAAATTTTTGCTAATATTGTAAATAGTATTCAACAACTTTCGAGAACTAAAGTCGATGTATACTATACAGAGTGCATACTGTATATAGGGTTACCCTGTTATCTATGTGTCCAATCTTACAGACAGAGCACACAAACTCCACAACACAATGATTTGTGTGTTTTCTGAGATGTATTTTATTTATACTTGTAATACATATGACTTAACCGAAAAACAGACACAAAACAAAATGAAATATTGGTTTTCAAATGAGGGAACGACTAAACGCACTGACCATTAACATAATCAGCGGAAATAATTAAACAATTGCCCTAGCCATAGTTATATACAGTACAGTATATTCTTGTACCTCAAACTCCCGATAAAATATACAAGCATAATAACTCTATTATGAATACAAGTTTACTTTCTAGCTACATCATCCTGGTATCAAACATCGCATACTATAATAGTATAATTAATGCCCACTAATTATAACTAAGAGAAACTAATATTTAAACATATTTTGCTAGCTAATGTATTATATTAATTACAAAATTATAAAATCTAAATAAACACAATTGAATAACTCGTAAGGCATCTAAAGGTTTTAGACTAGAATTGCTAATTAGGTGTAACAGTAGACATACCTAATAACTGGTAGACGAGACCGAGGTTAGAACACGCCTGTCCTTCGATGAACCTATTTTTGGTGACCATACTTGTAATACATATGACTTAACCGAAAAACAGACACAAAACAAAATGAAATATTGGTTTTCAAATGAGGGAACGACTAAACGCACTGACCATTAACATAATCAGCGGAAATAATTAAACAATTGCCTTAGCTATAGTTATATACAGTACAGTATATTCTTGTACCTCAAACTCCCGATAAAATATACAAGCATAATAACTCTATTATAAATACAAGTTTACTTTCTAGCTACATCATCCTGGTATCAAACATCGCATACTATAATAGTATAATTAATGCCCACTAATTATAATTAAGAGAAACTAATATTTAAACATATTTTGCTAACTAATGTATTAATTACAAAATTATAAAATCTAAATAAACACAATTGAATAACTTCATTCCGTAGATTTCCAAAATCTGATCTTAACGATTAATCCACATTGTCATCTGTATGGATTATTGACCATCTGCTCTGGCTCCAATCTTGTGCGGACAGGAAGCTACTTGGATAAAAACCACTGGTAACCGATGTTGAGTTGCCTTTCGTGCCACCGTTTGGCCTGCAAGAGGTCGCCCATACATCTGGACGCGTGGCCTAACCCGGCGTAAGCCTTGGACTCAATCATACGGTCGCCGATCTCTTGGGATATCCTGAGCACCTGCTCGTGGAAATGGATCGCCTGCTCGTAGTTACGCCGGTAGTGATGAGCAGAGCCTATAAGGGAATGGGAGATAAAGAGGACAGGTATGTGAGAGAGTGAGCGTAACAGATGTGGTGAGTGTTGGTGTGATGGAAAGGTATGAGGAGGGGAACGGCATGTGTTTAGGCCATTAGCGAGTGTATAGTATTTCTCAGCGAAAAATAGAGTTATATTTTATGCGCGGATAGTATTGTGCGGAGAGCACCGGGGGGTCACTGGGGTGTTATGTGGACAGACAGGCACAGGGTTGTGCGCATACAGTGGTGGCCCTCGGGGTATATAAGTGTGAGTGCCATCGTATAAGTGCTTTTTATATAACTTTCAAGGGGCACAAGTATGTTTAAGTATAGCACAGGTAGGCTAGCAGCACACATACCTAAATTAGAGTAGGCACGGGCCTCCTCAGCCTTGTTGCCCAATAGCCTGGCCAGTTTCACGTGCTCTAAGTGGCATTCCAGTGCATTTTCAAAATCTCCCGACGCTAGATACACGGCCCCCACGTTCCCGATCTCCCGGGCCTCGGCCAAGGGGTCGCCTATTTGCCGGACGAGTTTGAGGCACTGCTTGTGACTGGACAGGGCGTTGTTGATGTGCGGCTACCGGCTCATGTGCACCGGGTCCCTCCACTCGCGGTACCGACGGACATCCCACACGAACTTGAAGTACCGGTTGTGGTCAACCTTCGCTACCCGACGGTCACGAGAGAACATCAACGTAAAGGAGAAGAAGGCTGAGCCCAGGTTGCCGTGAGCTCGACATTCGCCCAGACTGTCGCCCAACGACTCCGACACCTAGTTTTTCGGAGGGGAAAGGGATGGAAATAACACATGAGTTAAATAAATATAAATTTTATGTTTAATTAGTATAGCAATCAGAGTTTTGTGGAGTTGTGTATGATATGTAGTTTGAGGGGTAGGGTATGTTTGTGGATCTCTCTCTCTCTCTCTCTCTCTGACAGTCAGTTGTTTTAAGTTTTGTTTAATCGGAAACATTGTTTGAGTAAACACTCGATGTTTAAAATATAAATCATAAGTGAAGTATAGTGAACAACACAAATACTGTATAACTCATCATTACTTTTAATATTATATAACAAATCTGTTGACAAAAAACTTTCGTTTTGAATAATCGGACGCCAAATGTGTTCAAATGATTACGAAAACATTTACAGTTTATGTTAATTATATTAATCAGACAAACAGTTAAACTGTACACTAATCACATGCATAACATACTGTGTATGGGCAACTGTTCACTATCTATAAATTTAAGAGACCCTACTTGAATTTAATAACTCTAAACTCAAACACCAGTTAATTATAGTTTAATTAATGAATATATGAATAAATAGGGAACTTATTACGGGTATAATGTTATGGAATTCATAACAAATATAAATATAAACTCCTTTTTTGTTATTTATTTTAATTTATTTTCTTATTTATTAACAAATTCTAAGCATAAAGAGCAAAGCGAATTAAAGGTATAAAAAACGTAATCCAAAAGTAAAAGTGTTTAGTTTATATGTAATCTCAGCTCACTCACTCACTCACTATCTCTCTCTCTCTCTCTCTCTCTCTCTCCTGATTTAGTCTGACAATATAAATATAATAATAATACTGTACTAATAAAAATCGTATCAAAATTAGTATTCATATACAGTATATTAATAAATAAATAAAAGTTATTTTACAGAAATAAAAATAATCATTAATTTGTTTACAAATAAGTGGTATATTATGACAGGTAACATTACACACCATATACCGGGGCACACCTATTCTACATAGTAAACTACTATAAATACTTAAATACTACAGCGCTATATTATAGATTACAAATAAAAATTATGATTATTAACAAATTGACTGCACTATTACTTGAAAAATATATTAATGTAAATTCCCGGTGTATATTACATACCCTGCGCTATGGTATTAATGTTTATGATATTCATCTGTGATTAGTGAGTACACCCCTATTAAGTTTAATCTGGTTTTATTAAATATTTGGGAAAATATTTTGATATTTGTATTTTTGGAAACTCGTATTAATATACTAAACACTACAGCAAACAGTTGTTTACTATATTATAATAAATGAAGAATTTTATGCGAATTTAATATTTTAATCAAAGGGTAGTCAAAGAATTATATGAGAGAAACACGAGTAATGACTACTTTATAATATATTTATGAAATATTATGTAACAATGCAACTGAAATTCAATCTAATTATATATTTACCTTTCGTTAAGAGTTTGTTTAAGTAGTATAAAAAGTAATGTTAACTGCAATTTATAATTTTTATGTAAAGTTAGCGTATTATCCTAATTAACATATTTTTGACGTAAAAATGACTTATATTTCTCTTTTTTAGAAAAGCGTTTCTCTATTATCTCTTTTTACAATAAACTCTCGCTATTTAAAAGTGTATGTAATTTTAAATAAAAATAAATTTATCTATAATAAGATACCTTGATGGCTTTTGGAAAAGTGTATGTATAGAAAGGGTTAACCCTTACAATCGACTCTGTATTTTAATTTGATTAATATTTTTCAGACACAAAGTATGGGAAAAAGTCTTGTTTTTTAACAAAATATTTTCTTTAAAATCATGAGATTTACCAGCAACTCTAGGTATAGACTAAATATTCAATAATATCGAAAAGAATCTGTGTTCAGAATGCTATTATATAACCTAATATAATATATTATGCTCTCTCTCTCTCTCTCTCTCTCTCTCTCTCTGAGAGAAATCTGTATTTCTTATCACTAATACTATTTAAATAAACCATAAGAATAGATGTGATCTCAAGACTTACAGAAATACAAAACTTAAAAAAATAAAAGAGAAATTCAATCAAAGGAAAAATAAAATAATGTTTGACATCAAGAATGCAAAGAATTTTTATTCAACTTATAATAATAATAATAATGATTAACAATAAACTATACAGTATAAACTCTATAATAGTAAGATTTTTGTAAGAATGCACAGTATATGAACAATGTATAAATCATACTACTTTAACGTATATTTACTAATCAATAAATTATCTCATCAATGGTGTAAGTTTGCTTTAATAAAATGTGTAAAACTATTTGCTCAATATGTTATGTCTGGAGCTTAAAATAATATTTTTATACAATTTAAGTTAAGATATATTTTTACTATTGAGAGAGAGATAGAGAGAGAGAGAGAGAGAGAGACGTGAATACAATTGAATATACAAAAAGCTAACAAATTTGTTAACAAATATGTTTTACGCTAAAGATTTGTGAAATTCTTGAAATATTTGCCGTAAAATGCATTTCACGTAATATTTAAAGCAAATTTGCTACAAACACGTTATCATAGACTGCATTATAATGAGTACTGAAATAAATCAAAACAACAAAATAAGCGCTCGTTTTACTTGAAAGCCATTAGAAAATCCTTATATATAATTATTATAATAAATATTTATTGCATAATAATTGTGTAAAAATGCACTCTTTTAGCACAAAATTTATGATTTAAATAAAAAATATAATTTTTGCTATCAATAAAAATCTACGTCTGAAAAGGTTTGAAAATATTTGTCCAAAAATTGTTGCGATAAATATTCAATCATTTAATGAAATGTTTAAATTAAACTCAAAATTAATATATCATTTAAATGTAATCTGAAAAAAATAAAATTTTAAACATCAGATTATCGACTGACAAAATATTTCAATCCTAGTATCAGTTAATATTTTGAACACAAATTATATTCATTCAAATTTATATCTCCGCAAAATAGATATGAAATATAAATCCACATAATTTTTTTGGTCATAATATTTAATTAACAAAATTGAATGCAAAACATAAAATATATTCCCTACTAATAAATAAACAAATTTTATGTTTTTTATTTCTCACATTCACTAATGGTTTACTACCGATAACTTGTACTATTAAAATAATATTATTTAGATGGGAACTGGTGGTGAGAGAGACTGGAGAGAGACTGGAGAGAGAGAGAGAGAGAGAGAGAGATCGTAAATTTTAAGCTAAATAAACAATTTTAACATTAAAATCGAGACTTAATATATTGATATTTTTAAAATTGAATTTAATGGTCGTTGAGATCCATATCTGATTTATAAGTTATTATAGCTTTTCTTAGACACAAGTCTTACGATAATATATTGGATTATATTATATAATACGAGAGAGAGAGAGAGAGAGAGAGAGAGAGAGACTAGTATTTGGGATATAATAAATCTAATGTTTACATTAAATATAATTTATAATAACTGTACCCAGCATATAGGAAATTTTAAGATGACACTCAACTAATCATTGATTTCCTGATTTAATTAAAAAATAAAATTGGTTTAAATTTTACGAGCAAAATATTTTCACATATTTTCCATCAATTATTTGCCAAATATTTCAGCGATAATATTAAATTTATTTGGCCAAGGGTTGTTTAGAAATATGACCTGTTTTATTATGTCTACAATACATTATATGAGCTCTACATTATAAATGCGAGAGAGAGAGAGAGAGAGAGAGAGAGAGAGAGAGAGAGTATAAAAAATTATCTTACTTTAAATGCAAATATATATTGAAAATATTTTGGTTCATTCAATATTAACATATTTAAAACAAATTTTTATACAGTTTAACTAGTTGATAATTGTGTTCTAACTTACAAAACAAATAAAACTTTAAAAACTAACCTATTTTTAAAAACGTTTAAAAAAATGTTTAAAAACTAAACTACTAATGCATCACTTTATATATCATGTTTTTAAATGTATTTTTTGGAAAATATTTATTTATAAATATTCACAAAATAAATTCAAAATTCAATTTTAAAAATATCAATATATTAAGTCTCGATTTTAATGTTAAAATTGTTTATTTAGCTTAAAATTTACGATCTCTCTCTCTCTCTCTCTCTCTCTCTCTCCAAAGCACTACTAGTTTTTAAATTTCTTAAATAACTATTAATTAGATGCTAAGAATATTTCAAAAATTTAAATAAATCATAAAATAATCAAAATAAATTTACATTTAATAATTCCTAATAAATAACTTTCTGTTAAATGATAGCTACTCTAACAAAAAGTCAAAATAGTAATTAATACTAAGTTTGCATTGCAAACTTTACAACACAATAATATACAGTACTTCTGTATACTATATCTAATTTCGCACAACATTTAACATGATTTAAAATACCACGAAAATTAAATAAATATATTTATGTTTAGTATTAAATATCTTAACTCTAGCTATGGACAGGTAGTGTAATAATAATAATAATAATACTGTTGTTCATTATATCAAAAGCGAATTGTATGTAGAAATTCGTGAGAAAGAGAGAGAAAGTCTTTTATAACTATAAAAACTATTTCTATTGAATGCTATAAAACATAAGAAAAGCGAAAATAACGCCAAAACGAAATCGTAAGACAGAGTGAGTGAGAGAGAGAGAGAGAGAGAGAGAGAGAGAGAGAGAGAGAGAGACAGAGGTTTGAGATGAAGGGCCAGAAAAATGTTAATAACAATAATTATATCGAATGTGTATTGGAATGGAATGGGAAGAGAGAGTGGAGGGAATGGGATGTCTGTATGAATGTATGGCAGAGAGGGCAACAAAACAACACACAACACACACAGTAAGCTCGTATACAGCACCTGGAGGTCTTGTTGCATGTAGCTGATGGCCTTATCCAGCTTATTGAGGGCCCAGTAGGCGCTGCCCAGCGCCGAGAACACCGAACCCCTGAGTTTGAGGGAACGGGAGCCTATTTTGAGGCTCGACTCGAGCACGACCACTGCGGCCCAGTAGTGTCCGGCCGCCAACAGCTCCTGACCCACGACACTGGTGATGACAAACGGAGATTTGTCGAAATTCATGGCCTGGAGTTGACGGTATATGGGCTCCAGTGAGGCCCGAAGGGGTGACTTCATAGCCGTCTCCACGAACCCCGATAATAGTTGCACCGATTTGCTGTCCTGGGCTAACCCGGATGCAAATGCGGCCAACGCTTCCGAGTATCGCTTTAATACCTATTTTTGAGTAATTTATATTAGTTTTCAAACTTTTTAAAAGTATCGATATTTAGGTAGTTATCGATAATTTAATATATAATGTATAAATATATGCATTTTTGTGATTATTGTTGATGTTAAAGGTTCATGTATGGATATCTTTTGTGATTTTTAATTTGTGCTAATTTTTACGCTAATCCCTGGCATTTAAATAGTAGATAGTTTTTTGTTTAGTTTTGTTATTTTTGTTGTGGATTGTTGTTGCTTTTTCTAATTATAAATGAGTTTATTATATTATTTTATATTTATGTTATTTAATAATAATAATCGCCAGCAAAAACTCGTATTTGAATTACGACCACTGCGGCCCAGTAGTGTCCGGCCGCCAACAGCTCCTGACCCACGACACTGGTGATGACAAACGGAGATTTGTCGAAATTCATGGCCTGGAGTTGACGGTATATGGGCTCCAGTGAGGCCCTTAGGGGTGACTTCATAGCCGTCTCCACGAACCCCGATAATAGTTGCACCGATTTGCTGTCCTGGGCTAACCCGGATGCAAATGCGGCCAACGCTTCCGAGTATCGCTTTAATACCTATTTTAGAGTCATTTATATTAGTTTTCAAACTTTTTAAAAGTATCGATATTTAGGTAGTTATTGATAATTAGGTAGTTATTGATAATTAGGTAGTTATTGATAATTTAATATATAATGTATAAATATATGCTTTTTTGTGATTATTGTTGATGTTAAAGGTTTTTATTCATGTATGATATCTTTTGTGATTTTTAATTTGTGTTAATTTTTACGCTAATCCCTGGCATTTAAATAGTAGATTGTTTAGTTTTGTTATTTTTGTTGTGGATTGTTGTTGCTTTTTCTAATTATAAATGAGTTTATTATATTATTTTATATTTATGTTATTTAATAATAATAATCGCCAGCAAAAACTCGTATTTGAATGCAAACATGAAACAAAACAAAATTAAATTATTTGTTGCTTGTTCTCACTGTTATTATTATAAATATTAATTAAAATTTTGGGAATACAGTTGACTTTCGCTATAAATGTATAGTTAAATTGAATTTATTCTATGCTTGATAAATTTATACATGAATATATTTGACAACTTGGCTAACAAAATTGAAACAATATTTTTAATGCATGTATATATTTATTTGAATTTAATTTAAATGAAACTCAATGAATAAATGTTTCAAATTATAAGCTAGCATAAAGTAATAAACAATAAGTATTTTTGATATAGCGAGCAAAAAATATATTAATATAAATCTTACGCTACATCGAGGCTATTGACATGCATACAGAAATATTTTCAATACATAAGTCATAAACCATTCAAATAAATGGCTAAAGGATTAATACCCTTTTGGACGATCCGGATGATGTGGACGGGGATGTGGAGGCCAGGGATGAGGCCGATGAGGAGGCCGACGACAAGGGCTCCATTTGCATGATTTATATGGATTTGATGTATGCGTTAATCCCTCGACATATACACAAACACACCGCTGGACGCCGTGTTATCTGCAGCTAATATAATCCGCACACAATTGAACGGTCAGTATATTAGGGAACACCACATAAACTATGGCTTTGAAGGTAGAGATTATCTCTCATAAAAGTCTATGCCATCGCATACACACTATACACATGACTGATACGATTGTCCACCAAAAATATATAGACTTTTTTCATATCGATATTTATTTCGCTGTAAACATAGTGTGATTTTCTATGGGGTTGAGGGCTGATGGTCGGGATGGTGGGGCTCACCATCGGTTTGATACCACGAGTAATAGTTAGAGTGAATAATTAGCTGATAGCTATGAATAATATGTGTAGAAATTGGACTCAAATATCAAGAACTCAACACATCTTTTGACGGCATATTCAATATATACACAAAACACAGTGTCGTCCCAATGCTTACACACACTTCTGTGTGTTGTGTATGTAATGTATGCCTAAACACTGGTATACGAGAGCACAGGTATGCTCGCAGGTATATACTCGCGAGTTGTACTTCACGGTGAGGAATGAGCACAAAAACCACGGGCACTGGTAGTCAAGAATATATCTCAGAGCTCTCATACACTACTACTCGCAGGCCTTTTCACTATTTATCGCAGAGACTGGTCGTCCCAAAGAGCACATCCACCACAACATTCCAGCGCTCACTCACACAACAGGTTTGGTTGAGTTCAACGGTGCCATAGGGCCGGTGTGTTCACCACTGAGGTAGAGGGGGGTTGTTATACCTGCGCTCAGGTAGTATACTATGACACAAGGCATACGACTTCTTGTGCACCATCGGACCTCTCTCTCTCTCTCTCTCTCGTCTCTCTTGTGCCCAAATATTTACGAAAAGTATTTTTGAACTCAACATTTGAAGCGCCGGCCGATTCCCTATACTTTTTTGCTGCTCTCTCTCTCTCTCTCTCTCCAATTCTCTCTCATTCTCTCTCTTTTCAGAACCACTACTACCTGTAGTTATATTAATACAGATTGTGTTGCACTACTCAACACACAGGCACAGGGAGATGGGAGAGAGAGTGTATATACGGGGCCTAATATACCTGTGCTTTTTGAAGTATGTGTGTACACACTGTATACACAACACACACGAGTCCCGTACGTAACCAAAATGTATGGCAATGTCTGGCGAGAGTGTGTGTGCGCTTACGGGGGGCTAATAATATCACTCAATATAATACAGATTAGAAAGTCTGGACAAATATTGACAGTAATAAAATGTGATCACAAAAATGTGCTGTCGTTTTAGGTCGAGGGACTGGTAGGTCTTACACAGACGGCAGCCATAAAAATCTTTAGGTACATCTCAGGTCCTGTCTGTGGGACTGTATTTGTCGCGCGTTTAGGCATTCAATAGTCAATAGATTAGATTAAAGGCTTTTATGGGTCCCATTTGGACACCAATATTCACTATATTCATAGACTTTCAGTGCTTTATCTGACGATTTTTAGGGACAGGGAGACTGAGAGGACAGAGTGTGAGAGAGACTGAGATTTTCTATTATATTTATTGTATGTGAGAATAAAAGTACACTATTGAGAGGGACAGGTAAGGGGTATAAAGAATATTAGATATAATTGTATTCAAATTAGTTTCATGTGCCAAACGCTAAAGAATGGGCTCACAATTCTTTGGTACACTATTCACACCGTAATTGTGTGTATAATTCAAACGAAAATTTGGCTCAAAATGCCAGTCAGAGTGAGAGAGAAAGATAGTGTGAGTGCGAGAGAGAGAGAGAGAAAGAGAGAGAGGCAGCATAGAAATTGTGTGTCTTTTTGGGCAATATTTTTAAAGCCCTTTCCGAGTAAATGGCTTTTTAATCACCTCTCAGTCTCTCATCCAGTCCTCACTCAACTCAGTAATCAGAGGCAATCATTTGTGTTTTTGTTAGGCCGGCTATACCTGTGCCCAAGAATGAGAGTGATTGTGATGTACATCAACAGCCGTTCCCGTCAATGTAAGTGCGAGTGCGAGGCTGTACTCAGTTTGCAATGAGAGAGAGAGAGAGAGAGAGAGAGAGAGAGAGAGAGAAATAAGAGAGAATGAGAGGTTCAGGTATGAGAGAGAGAGCCAAGAAGAGAGCGGGTGAGAGAGACTGAGAGGGAAATGACTCGAATATAATACAGTTTTGTGAGTGAAATGCGAAACGAGTGGAACAGTTGAACCAGAATTGCAAAGACATTGAAATGAGTGATTGAAATGCAGTGCAAACCCAATACAGTGGACATACACTCTGTACACCCATTCATTCAAATCTATTATCTATTGAGACGATTCCACTCGAGAATACACTCTATTAGCAAAAAATGGATTATTATCCACAATAATAACCTACAGTTCCTCTGAATATCTGGCTATAAGAGTATAAGAGTAGGAAATCCTTCAAATTACGTTATTATAAACATATCTATTCTGTATATACACTGTCCATATGCTGCTATATTGAGGTTCACTATACATGGGATTGCATTGTATTTGGTGTTCACATAGTCTTTGTTATTATTGTTGAAAAATAAGTGAATAAAAGGAGAGAAAAATATATGAAAAATAGTTTTTTTGATTTATTTTTATAGCTTATGATGAGTGCAGTCACACAACCACTGCCAACACAATAGGCAATTGCAGTCATTCACTGGAAATTTTGAGGCAAACATCGCCAAAGTTTTTCAATAAATAATTTCTTGAATATATGTCCTGTAATCTCCCGGTCCACTTCACCTCACTTTAAATTCATACCTGTGCGCCTATGTTAAAGAGTCGCCACATCGCCTACCAGTGCCTCTCAAATCTCTCGCTGACTATCCACTACTTATGATGGTTGAGCCGACCCGTAAAGACTTGCCTAATGATATACCTATGGGTTAGTGAGTGAGTGATTAGATTGTGAGTGAAAGAGAGACACAGTTTTTAATCTAATTAACAAAGAAAAGAGTGCTCTTTAAATACCTCTCTCCCTCTCTCTACTCTCTCTCTCTCTCTCTCTCTCTCTCTCTCTCTCTCTCTCTCTATTTACTGAGTTGAGTGAGGACTGGATGAGAGACACAGTTTTTAATCTAATTAACAAAGAAAAGAGTGCTCTTTAAATACCTCTCTCCCTCTCTCTCTCTCTCTCTCTCTCTCTCTCTCTCTCTCTCTCTCTCTCTCTCTAATTCGATATACAATACGCTAAATACCCGGAGCACACACTATTTTCGCTGTACATATTGTGCTATTGTATTGAATTTGTATAGAAATCTGTCTGTAATTTATTATACCATTTATTGTGCACTTCTTTGAAAAAGTCGAGTGAAGACAAAAACATTAGGAAAATACTGAAAGAAATGCAAAGAAAAGAAGTGAAAAGAGATTCATATTATATACAAGTATATTGAGATTGAAATAGAAATAAAATATATTTTTCAAATCAAATATAAAACACGCGGTTAACGCCTCGGGTTTAACTCAAGAATATGTGTGTTATATGTGTATTGAAATGCGAGAGAGAGAGCGAGAGAGAGAGAGAGCGAGAGAGAGAGAGAGAGAGAGAGAGAGAGAGAGCATAAAAGTAAGAGAGCTATTTAGAAAATTTTAATTTCATGTGACAGACAATCCTATTATTTTAAAGTAATCGGGTTTTCTGTACGGAATTTATAATGCATTTGATTTTAGCGAAAGTCAAGTCTCAAAGATTCCTGACTCACACAGAAAATGCATATTTTTGACAAAAGTCCGCCAAAAAAGTGCTTTTAGGGGTTGTGTGCGATAAAAACTCCATTTCCACACCGACACACTAAATATGCTAAAATGTTTTGCCTCTCATTTGCCGCTAAACCCAAACCAAACAGGACTTACAAATTCTTTGGCATTTTATTTGCACTTTTATTCCTAATGGTATTTATTAGCGTATAGTCTGTGGTGTGAATAGTGTTTAGATAATTATCAACTAATGATCGACACAGACATATGATCTTTAGGCTATAGATTTTTGGTCGGCTATAGTGTACACGAAATAATGTGTATATTATATTTCATATTGCATTTTCATATGTACCTGTTTATAATTTTCATTATCATTTGGGGAGGGAGAGAGAGAGAGAGAGAGAAAGAGAGTATTTGTTCATAATATACAATATACTGTACACTGTAATGAGTACACAATAATATAATCAGAAATTACTTTTTCATAGTATAGAAAGAAAACTAAGAAAATTAATTCATTTGAAAACTTTATTTCCATAAATACTTCACTAATAAGTCTTAAGAGTATTTTTATTTATTCTCTGCTTTTTTCTCGTGAAATAAATACAAATAAAATGTATGAAAAAAAAATTAACTCTTTTTTATATGGATTCTGAAGTTTTGAAGTTTTAATAATCATATATTTTGATGACTATTCACTGACTAAACTGAGCCGGGATTTCAGAGTCGTTTCGCTAATTAATTATTATTAGATTTCTTCAAGTGATAAGTCATTAGAGAGAAGAGAAATATTTGTTTTTATATTTTGCTATTTTTTCGTTAATTTATAACATTTTAATTATAAACGAAAATTAAAAAAGTAAATTAAAAATAACGAAAGAAGTTTTTATCATTATATACAGTCTATTATCGATACACTAATTAACAACAATTTATAATATAATATATTATTAATTTGAAAATATTTTCTTATTAATAGTTGTTATATTAATTAAATTAAATTAAAAATAGTTTTACTTAACAATCAATTAATAATAAACTTGTAAAAATACATGGATTTATAATGAGTGCAAACTATAGTATAGATTCTGTTATCACAACCAGACATACAGTATTAGAGATAATCTATGGATATATCTATTATAATGGCCCAGGCACATACAGATTATTTAAGAAATTTATTTTGCAATTATATTGACATTTGAAATGAACTGGAAAAAATAAACTCTTTGAGTCC